AGGTATTATATAATTAATAACAAGCAGAGACCCGGCGCGAGCTCCCGTTCGTGGAAGCAGTATTCGTTCATGAGTCTGCATCAGATGAAAACATCTTAAGTCGGACACGATGGCGTAGTAAGCCGAAAGCCGAAAAGTAAACAGCGTTAGGCTACGAAATGATCTCGAGTGCCATCGTCTTGAGCTTATCAGTTTAGCATCTGACTGTGACTTTGAGGTGTCTATTCGTCCAGTGTTCTAACCAACCGTCTGCCAACCGGGATGGCCCCCACAGGTATGCCGCAGGTGAGGAGTGCCGCGGGCACCCAAGATACTCCCCAGTACATGGCAAGCACAAAGAAAAAGCCTGAAAAGAGAAATTCATCCACAAGCAACCCGATCGTAGATCAGAAGCGGGTGGGCGTGCGCCGATCTCATGGGTCAGGTCAACCGCCGTAAGGTACCCCATATCAGCAAGACCCTTGTCCTTGATGGATTAGATTAAGCCGATGAAGGGACACGGATCAAGCTTCCGGTCAGGCCTTGGCATGGGAGATACCAGGGGCGAAGAGAAGATACATTTGCGCGATGCTCGACGGAGCATCGCATGGTAGCTCGATATTTGATCAAATCTTTGATGGATACACATACGAGTGAGTACATGACGTGAGAACAACATCAAGACCGATTTAGCTACGAGCTTTCGAAATACACCTTCAAGGGGTTCTTTGGTTTGGCTGAGAGACGGCGCGATGCCACCATGGACGGGAGGGAGCCATATGCGGGAGAGGAGAGTCTCTTTCCGCAGTGCATACCCACACGCCCCAAGCCCAGGCTTCTCGTAGCTGGAATTCCTGGGCGTGGGCATAGTTTTTATTGGGCAGCCCGTACCTCGCCTTGTGGCAGGGAATTGGACGGAGTTCAAAGGTGGTTTGCGGCTCAGCCAGCAGCTGCGCCTGGCAAGGGTGTCCCGAGTTGCGTTGCTTCGATGTCATCGTCACATTCGGAGATCAGGAGAGGCAGAGAAGCATAACCTGGTCGACCCTTTGTATAGGGTAGCATGAGGGGAGTGCCCTACATAGCAGGTCATCACAACCAGGTTCGAACAATGATGTAGCGTTGCGTTTGAGGTTGCACACTTAGTGATGCACGACGAGCAGCAACATAACGCAAGTCGAGTGCATTAGCATCATGTGATGGTGAGGCATGGTTGCGGAGGTTATTGGCTACTCCCACAAGGCATGTGCGGTTCTATTCCGAGTAGCTGTGGCTTAACGGTGATTGAAACGGACAGTCAACCAAACAGGAGACAGAGCAAAGAGGAGATTACGAGATCATTTGATTAAAGCAGGCGGTGAGCAATCAAGGTGAGAGATTGCTACTGAAGGAAGCGATATACATTCAATTAAAGAGTCGGACGAGAGGGAAGGTGAAGAACCTAAGGGAAGCCATCCCGGACCGAGATGGATGGGGACCAGGGCTGAAAGTACCTAGGTACCTAGGTAGGTAAGCTCGTAAGATAATAAGGTGAATTGCGGCAGGGGCGACGCTCGCGGCATGCAAGCCATCATGGGGAAGGTGCGCCAAGCAAGTTAACTTGCGGCGGCTGCCAGACCGAGATAAAGTGTGCACGGAGCACGGAGCACGGAACATGGAAGAGGGAAGGACCACACATGGAGTATGCAGGTGGCCCGTCACGAAGCTGCCTTAGAGCTTGAATCCCTAGGTGGGCAAATAGGTGCGCAGGTAAGGTAACAGCTACTTACCTATCGTTGGTGAGGGCCCATGTTGGTCATTGCCCGGATACTCTTCTGGAGTTCTTGCCTTCCCAAGATCGTTGGTAGGTGCAACAAGCAGGAAGCAGCAAGCAGCAAGCAAGAAGGGAGCCACGTCTCATCGCCTGCCTTCTTGAGGTGAAGCTCGTTCCTACCTTTTTGATGGAGCTATGAATCGTCTAATTTTGATAGCCGCGTTCTTGATGCCGAGGATCTTGAAAGCTAAATTGGCCTGTCTTGTCTATTCTCGGGCTTGAAGGGAGACCGGCCTGTCGGGCCCCCAGTGAACATGGACCGCCGATCCCAGATCACAGAAGATAATTCCGATTCGCCAGCGAATGCATGGCCTGTTTGAGGGATCCTCAGTGCCACTTGCATGCTCCATCCTTGCATTTTGGTCAGCTCTGCTTCACGCTACCTTGGGCTTGTCGGCCTACGGAGTTGCTCTCCTGGCTGTTCCAGCAGACACTTAGCTCCGGGAGCAATCATTCTGTGGCAGTGGACTGGAAAACAACCCGACGGCTCTTTTGGAGCAGCTCTCTCAATCGACACCCCAAGGGGTCCAGCATCTCATCACCGCAGATTCCCCAGACATGATCTTTGACGATGCGCTGGTTCAGTGAGCATCTCGTCTTCTACCCGGTTTCTCCACTGGGTTCTCCTCACCGACTAGATGGTCCATGGGGCAAATTGGGGTCTATAGTGAAGCACGCCAGGATATCCTTGAGTGTTCGATGTCGCCAACCGTGTGATCGTGTGGTTTGGGACGGAGCATCCAGCCTCCTATCTTCAGGGGATTTGGGGGTCATATATCATTGTTGGTGACAATGATACCTAAAACACTCAACTTCAGCCTCCGATGCCCGTCTTGCATCATCCGCGTCATATATAGAGCGATATGGATGGAGCTAAGATATCCAACGTGCCTTGCTCAGCACATCTGAATGCAAGCTGCAGCCCGAGCTTCTGTATTCTGGTTCATGGAAACAAATTCCCCGAGAGCCTGGTACCATAAACCCCCGTTCACGTCCCATCAATGACTGAGGTGCTCTATTGGGACTCCCGACCCGTGGACGGACGGTGGTGTTGGCTGATTGCACGAGTGACCTGCGTAGAGTCTTAGGTTCCCTCGGTTCGCAGGGCCTTGGATTTGACAGGACTGCGACGGCACAGCGTATCTGACAGCGTGCGACGACAGTCTCCCTCTCACATGACGACACGGAGCAGAATGGTTATTACTCGGGCTTATGGAAATCACCCTATGAATCGCAATGAAGTCTACGATTGCCTTAGGCGGTGTACAAATCAGGATGGCAAAGAGGCTAATTCGCATTTTGACGAGCCAATCCGCTGTGGCAAGTGTCCCCGATAAATGGAAGCCGGGCCGGCATACCGCACCGGACGAGGTCCACCTCCACCTCCCCTCAATATCGAAGTCAAAAGCCACCAAGTGGTTTAGATCACCTTCCGACGTGCACCATTTCTCCAGACCGCGTGCTTGATCGTTGCGCCCTGCTATCTCTAACCTATTGTGAAGGCGTGTTTCCCTTCTAGGTGGAATCTGCACTTCCCGAGATATGATGGTGTCGATACGCCTATACAGTTCCCCCAACAAGGGTTCGCTTCTCGGCTACAACTTTTAGCATGTTTTAGAAGCGAGCATCTGACAAGCGTCTTTATCGGCTGCCCATCAATATAGACACTGGATATGTCATCAAGTGCTGATAATGCGTGGAGGGAGACCCTGTAACTATCAACTCTCCAAAGGGAGGTCTCTATCAGTAGATGTTGTCACCTCGGTCTACCGGGTGCATTTAGGAGGACGTTTCCGCTTGGCGTATGACCATCAAGCTGTCACACTATTAAAGAGAGAGTTTGTCATCTATGCTTTTAGGAATCACAAATTAGCAGCATCCGGGTTTGGGTATTGGCATGCTTATGAACAATTTGAGGCAGCGGGGGATTGAGGATTGACCGGCGCTGTCACAGCAAACGACAAGGGTTGGGCGATTTACCTATACCTTGGTAGCCGTCTGTCCCGGCCAGCCCGTTTGCCCTGTCCGATTGGGGTTCGCCACGCTGTCAATAAGGCCTACGGAGTGACAGGGTCCCCTGGCCGATCTGAGGAACCACGAAAAAAAAAACCTCCCCAGCCCAGACCGCCTGGGACCGAGACGGCACGCTTGAATCGGATCGAATGCAACTCGCAGCTTCTTGCATACCCCAAGCCGTAGGGAAAGATCAGCGGCAAGAAAACATCCAGAACCACGGCGTTCCCAGATCTAGGGCCACCCAGTTGGAATTGTCCACGTGCAGCGGGATACAGATGAGCGAGTCAGGCAATGCTCAGCGTCGAAACGTGGGCACAGCACATTCCGTCCGCCGTTACAAGACCATACCTTACACCCAAGAAGCCCACACTTCAGCCCCCCACCCGGCCAAATTACCTCTGCTTGTCCACAAAAGGCTTGCGTCGTTATGCAATATAAGCAAGTCGGACGTCTGGCGAACCTGGATACCAACAGTACCGCCGCTCATACGGTCCGTCCCTACCGATGTGGCTATTGACTGCAATAAAGACACCTCGGGGAAAGCAGTCAAGTGACATGGCGTATCATCATCCCAGCGTAAGTCGACGGACAGCTTGCCAGCTATTCCCCACTCCCCACGCTCGGCGGCTTTCCGGCATTCCTGTTTCGAGCGCCTTCGTTGTGAAGCTGTAGATCTCATACAACCACCGTGGATCCAGCAAGCAAGCCCCCCAAGCGTGGTGTTCAATGTACCTGGGCCGACCCCTAAGTACTAATCTTCTCTTCCCCATTGCCCGTAACTTAGCTGGTGCCTGGCTTTACGGGGCCCCATCTAATCCACATAAATCTTTCCATGCCATAAACGGGTCTGCGCTTCCCACCGTTTTCATATCGAGCGGGTAATTATCGGTAGGCGAGAGTACCGTGTCTCGCCCTGCTGATCTCTTAGTCGTGTAACGGGCTTATATAGAATCCGCCTTCCCATATTCGATATCTTGATCAGTCCAAGCCAACAAGAGTTCGCCGTCTTGTTTGACTCGAGAACTTCACACATTTCTAATTAACTCATCATCCTGAGATACCCACGGTCGTTCCCCTTCCCCGACAATCTGGCTGGTCTTGAAGTCGAGGATTCGAGTAGATAACCCAAGCTGGCAAATAAGCATTGCTGTACTAGAGCCACCTGCAACGTTCAGCTGGGTAAACAAGGAGAATAATGGCAGAAGCGTTATCTTTAACGAGAAGAATGGATTTGGGCGATGGTATTGATCCTAACCCTTCGCCTTTGGAGAGTGTTGGGACAAGCACAACACCCGATACTGAGGTCTCCCCTCCAGACAGCCCTTATCAGCAACAGAACGCAATTCTTAAGAACACAAGGCTGTTAGCAAGAAAGAAGCTTGCTCAACTGTCTCAAGAGGAGAAGGTATGATGAGTCCTACTAACTCCTGTTCCGGAATTTGATATTGATTTGCGCAATAGGTCTCCTTACTTACCGCTGCAGACTTCTGGAGAACAAAGGCCATTCCCTCTAAGGGAGTCCCCGCAGCCAAAACAAGCGATGGCCCCAATGGTGCTCGTGGTGGCATTTTCGTCGGCGGAACAAAGGTGAATCGACATCAATCTTCAACCTCGCTGGTGTTGATGCTGAACCCCCTTTAGGCTGCGCTGTTTCCCTGTGGTGTCTCACTTGCCGCCACTTGGAACAAAGAACTACTTTATGATGTTGGCCAGCACCTTGCTGATGAGACCAGAGCAAGGTCGGCCAACATTCTTCTAGCACCGACTGTCTGCATGCACCGTCATCCGTTGGGAGGCCGGAATTTCGAGTCATTCTCTGAGGACCCCCTTCTGACTGGCAAGCTCGCTGCCCAATATATCCGTGGCATCCAACAGAAAGGGGTTGCCGCCACCATCAAACGTTCGTTATTGAGCACTTGCACTATAATATGTACGCTGTGCGCCCGCTAATATATCAGCAGACTTCGTTGGCAACGAGCAGGAGACGAATAGATTGACGATCGACTCGGTCGTTGCCGAGCGGCCACTGCGAGAACTTTATCTTAAACCATTTGAGATTGCCATCCGTGAGGCCAATCCATGGGCTGTTATGTCATCATATAACCTCATTAATGGCGTGCATGCCGACATGCATTTCCACACTCTCAGGGAGATCCTCCGCGGCGAGTGGAACTATGACGGGTGGGTGTCGATCTCCGGTATTTAAGCGAGTTGATCAGCTAACCTTAAACTAAGCACTGTTATTTCTGACTGGGGTGGTTTGAACTCCACAGTCGAATCCCTGAAAGCAGGATGTGATGTCGAATTTCCATTCTCTGTGAAATGGAGATTTGAGAAGGTCCTGGCTGCTCTCAAGGATGGTGCCATAACTCAGGACGATATTGACCGGGCCGCTGAAAATGCTCTGACACTTGTACTTCGCACCAAGGGTGAGGACATGTCGGAGGAGGCAGCTGAGAGGGAAGACAATCGACCCGAGACCCGAGAACTGATTCGAGAGGCTGGTGCCCAGGGCTTGACACTGCTCAAGAATGACGGGGGCATCTTGCCAATCAACCCGAAGACTGCAAAGGTCGCGGTCATCGGCCCAAATGCTAACCGTGCCATTGCCGGTGGCGGAGGTAGCGCCAGCTTGAACCCGTACTACAACACCCTGCCACTCGAGAGCATCAAGAAGGCTGCGGGTGAAGAGGTTGTGTATGCCCAGGGTTGCCATATTCACAAGTGGCTACCGGTGGCTTCTCCTTTCTGTACAACTAAGGAAGGCAAGCAAGGTGTGAACATCGACTGGTTTGCTGGCGATCAGTTCAAGGGTGAACCGATAGTCATTCAACGGCGAACGAATACTGATCTCTTCCTCTGGGACTCGGCACCGCTCGCTCAAGTGGGCCCAGAATGGTCTGCAATAGCCACCACATACCTTACCGCAACATCGACCGGCAAGCATACTGTCAGCTTCATGAGTGTCGGCCCTGGCAAACTATATATCGATGACAAGCTGGCCTTGGACTTGTGGGACTGGACTGAGGAGGGCGAGGCCATGTTTGATGGCTCGATAGACTACCTTGTGGAAATCGATATGCAAGCTGGCAAGGCTGTAGAACTCAAGGTCGAGATGACGAACGAACTTCGGCCTGTGTCAAAACAGAAGACCTTCAACATGACGCATAAGTATGGTGGATGCCGTATCGGCTTCAAGGAGGAGGATCAACTGGACTACCTTCAGGAGGCCGTCGACGCTGCTAAAGCCGCTGATGTCGCCGTTGTTATTGTCGGCCTGGACGCTGAGTGGGAGTCTGAAGGATATGATCGACAAACGATGGACCTTCCCTCAGACGGAAGCCAAGACCGTCTCATCGAGGCTGTCGTCAAGGCAAACCCTAACACCGTCGTCGTTAACCAGTCCGGATCACCGGTAACAATGCCGTGGGCTGACCACGTACCTGCCATCCTCCAGGCCTGGTACCAGGGTCAGGAGGCAGGTAACGCACTCGCTGATGTCCTCTTCGGCCTGAAGAGCCCAAGCGGAAAGCTTCCTGTGAGTTCCCTTCATAATATTTGAGATGAGACAATCTCGTTGACAACCATAGTGTACTTTCCCCCGCAGACTCGAAGATGCCCCTGCGTACCACAACTGGCCGGGTGAGAACCTTGAGGTGGTGTACGGCGAGGGCATGTACATCGGCTACCGACACTACGAGCGGGCCCATATTGCCCCGCTCTTCCCCTTCGGCCACGGCCTGTCATACACGATTTTCGAGTACGGCCGTCCGTCGCTGAGCTCGAAGACGCTTACATCGGCCGATAACATCGAGATGATATTCGCTGTCAGCAACATTGGGGATGTCGACGGATATGAGACTGTGCAGGTGTATGTGCATGATGACAAGTCGAGGCTGCCGCGTCCTGAAAAGGAGCTGGTGGCCTTTGAGAAGGTCTTCCTAGAAGCGGGGGAGACAAAACACCTCCGGATCTCTCTGGACAAGCATGCGGTCGGTTATTATGACACCTCCCTCAATGCGTGGATTGCCGAGGAGGGCACTTTCAAAGTCCTCGTGGGCGCTTCGTCCGCTGACATCAGGTTCGCCTCTACCCGCATCCCCCCATTCTATATTGCTGAATCATCTAGCTGACTGATCCAATAGGAGGACAACCGCCTTCGAAGTCAAGGAATCCTTCACATGGGTTTTCTGAACATCGCATATAATACTAACCTATTTCCAATCATTATGGAATCACTGTGCTTTTCATTTCTCGCTGTCCTTCTTATACCTATCCTTTTTTTAAAACCACGATTTTGGATATAGAGAGGAATGCAACTCACTGGCATATCATCGGCACGGACACGAATTTTTGGCTTTCTTGATACAGGGGGGGCTGTGCATCCCCCACGGGGTTCTCCTTTTCAGAGCGAGGGATAATGATGACATGGAACTTCCTCGCACCTGGAGACGTAGAGTCTTTGCTTGAGGGCCTTGGCCCCCTGTACCTTTTTCTTCATCTTTAGACTGTATGTATTTTCTTCGTGGAGAGTGGGTGGTTTGGGAGTGGATCGGGTGGATGGACGCACTTGCATGGTAGACAAGATCATATAGCGAACACACACAACACACACGAACTCTGGCATTCATTGAACCGGGTTTATTGCCAACGCCGAACGAGGGCAGTCTCGTGTGCTTCTGTGCACTCCCAAAAGCGCTTCCCAGAGCTTAGGTGGACGGTAGAACGTCCGTTTTTCTTTTGTGTTGATTGTCTGGAGGCTGCTTGTACAATCGAGAGAGATGGGCCTAGGCCGTATGGGAGTGACGTTGCAGTAAGCCATCTCAACAATCATTTCGTTATCGCCCGGGTTGTCCGCATACATCCACGTTGGAGAACTCGGGCCCCGATACCCCCCCTGTATGTGTGTATACGCGCGCCTTATCATGTGGTGTTGTGGTAGCGAATGAAGCCAAGTACCGTACTGACTGTTTGTACACGTACATACAAAGAAAAGGGTCTTCTGAAGTGGGCTGTCTGTATGTCTGTATGTCTGTGTGTCTGTGTGTCTGTCACTTGCAAAGCCACCAGCCGCATAACGGCGTAATTTTGTCTCAATTACCGCCTCGTGCGGTGCCGACTTCCGAACGGGCTCTTGACTGTCTCTTTTCAGACAGAAGGTTCTGGACGCATGATATTCAATAATTGGAACATTTCAAGTAAATTTCGTCAGAGACAGTAGCTGTGAAAGGAGCAGAGGAGATCTCGATTCTCGACTCGTCCATCAATTGAATCTATCGATTTGCAACTGCAGCCAAAATTACCTACTCTCTGCCTGTTGTTGGTGCTCTACCGGACTGCCCATGTTAGCGCATCCCCCCAGGGTGTCCACACACCCTCACGCCCACATACGGCACCCTAGGCCGGCTTGATGTCGCGCCCTATTGGGCCAAGCCATTCCAAACCCCTATTCGCGTTCCCTCTTCCGCTTCTGTGGCGCTCATAGTTGGCCTTTTTTGGGGGGCGAGCCTTACAAGACTACCGCCGTAGCATCTCGAGCCAACATCGACGTGTGCTTATCCCAGCGAGAAAGAGTGGGCAAGTTGCAGGTGTGGTTCTTTGTTCTTTTTGAACGGTAGAAAAGACAGCTCAGCTCGGCTCGTTCCTGGCCCACAGTCCCAGCCCAGGCCGCCTAGACTCAGACAGACCCAGCGAACGAACCAGATCCTGGACCCATACATCCACGCACACTCACACGCACACGCATACGCATACCTTACCTCGCACCTACAGAGGAGAATAGGTTACCTACCTAGTACTGAACCGTACCTACCTTACGCCGCAGGCTCGACAGACAGACAGACGAACGGAACAGGCCGGCCACTCTCGGAATGCAGGGCAGCAGCTAAGGAGCAGTACCGGTAGTCCCTCGATCTCGAGTAGCAGGCCAACGCAGGTGCATGCATGGATGCTTGATGGCCGATGGCAGTGTGGCTGCTACCCGTACCCGTACCCGTACCTGTACCGGACTGTACGCAGTAGCTCGACTACTTGCTCGCTCGCTCTTGACCCTCTTCGTCCCCCTCGACCATCGTCATGGCTCCTCCCCCCTACAGCTATCCCAAGAGGACCAGCAGTAATGGCTTTGCATCCGCCTTCTCCTCCTCCTCTCACAGCCACCGCGGCGACGACTCCTCGCTGATCGACGACTGCCGTGCCCTCGCCTCCCACGCCGCCCGATCCCTCTGGCACTTCTGGCATACCCGTGGCCGGCGCATGTCTGCCATGCTGCTCCTCCGATCCGCGCAGCAGCTGCGCCAGAACCTCACAATGCGCAGGTTGCTTAGCTTTCCCCACCTGCTCGTTATGGCCTGGGTATTTGTGCTGCTCTGGGGCGAGAGATGGGTCTTCCACACGCGGGTCGAGAGTTGTCACTGGAGCAATTGGGAGAAATGGGTAAGTTGGTCACTGGCAGCTTGCTTGCTGCTATACGCTTCCTCTACGCGAGCTGTGCACGGCAATCTCAAGTCTAACATATGTGTGTGTAACTTCTAGCCGGCGGGCGCGAACCCTCACCACCTCATCTTCGTTGCCGACCCCCAGATCATCGACCCGAAGTCGTATCCCGGCCGGCCGTGGCCGCTGAACCCCCTGACCGTCCAGATCACCGACAACTACCTCCGGCGATCCTACAACCAGCTGCAGAGCCAGCTACATCCAGACACTGTCTTCTTCCTGGGCGATCTATTCGATGGTGGGAGGGAATGGAAGACGGCGCATGGCGACTTTAGAGACCCGGAGTGGAACCACCGACCGGCCGGCGAGAAGAGCCACGCGAAAAGCTGGAAGAAGAAGTACGGCGAGGGCTTCTGGCTGCGGGAATACGCGCGTTTTGGGGATATCTTCTTCGATCCGTGGAACGATGCTGGACCGGACGCGGGGAAGGGGCAGCGTGGACGGAAGCTGATTGCCAGTCTGCCCGGAAACCATGACCTCGGCTTCGGCTCCGAGGTTAAAGCACCGGTGAGGGATCGGTTCGAGGCGTACTTTGGAGACGTGAACAGGGTGGATGTAATTGGAAATCACACCTTCGTGTCCGTGGACACGGTATCATGGAGCGCAGCCAGCTCGGACGAGACGGCCATGGCTGATCTACGGCCGATATACATGCCGACGCAGATGTTCCTGGATGATGTGCAGTCTACGAAACGAAAGGCCGTGGAGAAGGAGCTACGGTTCCAACGCGGTCAAGTTGAAGAAGTGGCGTTTAATCACAAGATTGAAGATCTAGAAAAGGCAGACTTCAAGGATATGCCGACATTAGACCCAGGCGAGGGAAAGGCGGAACTACCCACAGTTCTACTTACTCACGTCCCGCTATATCGGCCCCCAGGAACTCCCTGCGGGCCTCTACGAGAACACTGGCCTCCGGCCAAGCCGCCGAAGGGACAGACGGAGCCTGTGTTTCCCGACCATCGCAACGCCATTACAGTTGCGAAAGGATACCAATATCAAAATGTACTGGGCGAGGCGGACTCAGCCAAGCTGGTAAAGCAGGTGGGGAACGTGATTCACGCCTTTTCAGGCGACGATCACGATTACTGTGAGCTTACGCACGCCGCGAACCAGGGCGGTGTCAAGGAGATCACTGTCAAGAGTATCAGCATGGCCATGGGCGTGCCCACACCCGCCTTCCTGATGGTCAGCATGTACAACCCCGTAGACGCAGACGGGAAGCCTCTTCCCGGTGCGCCGACCACGACCCTGCAGACACACCTGTGCCTTCTGCCAAACCAGATCTCTACATACATGCGATACGGCCTATTCGCCTTCGTCTGTATTGTAATACTAGCTATCCGGGCGTCCTTAGTACCGCTGCTCAAACTGCAGCCCTTCGCGCTCGACATGCCTGGCCCCAGAGAAAACGTGTCTATCCTGCCCACGTACAGCAAGGCTAAGGTCGATGACTACGACAGGCATAGACACACCTCCGGCACCGGCTACAGCGCCTCCCACTTCCTCTCCGGGGCGCCGCCCAACGCCGCGGCGACCGTCAAGAGCAACGGCACGCGCGACCGCAGCTCCTCGCTCGGCTTCAAGCCCAACGGCCACCAGCACCACCACCATCACAAGGGCGACGGCGCCTCCTCCGGGAAGCCGAGGTCGTACGGCCGCGCGGCGGGCGGCCGCTGGGGGTGGGGCGACGGGCCGAAGATCCAGATTGGTGGTGTGGGTGATGATGATGACGACGAGGACGACGGGTACGCCTACGACGGCGGAAAGTCCCGCGGCGTGGGCACGTGGCGCGCGGCCAAGTCGAGGTCCAGGACGACGGTCGCTGTTGTGGTGCGCGAGATGTGGACGACGAGCTGGCGCGTGGCGTGGATGGCGCTGCTGTTCCTGGCGTATCTGACCTGGAAGGGTTGATCCAACGATAGGGGTCATCAAGGCATGTATAAAGTATGGGGAGTGTTCATATATAACCTATGTACAGTTAGGTCGCAGTGACGTCGCCAGAAGAGTAGTCACCGCAGTCACACTGAGAAGGAAGCAAAGGGAGATTCGCGTGTAGTACCCGGGGATGCATGGCATGGCATGGCATGGCTTGGGACTTTGTTTACTGGGTGGCGGAAAAGGAATAGGGGCGTCTACGCTGTACAGCAATCATTCTTGGTTTCTCCTTTTTGTAATCTATATATAATTCGAGGGCCAGTAGTCCTGGACAGGCATAGAAAAGTATCTCTCTAATACAGAACTCACATGCTCACCCTATTCTGTCGCCTACTCGGGGGGTTTCCCCGCCAAGGGGTCGGTGTTATGCTCCACACAACTGTGATATGATGTTTGATGAATTAGACATCCTTTCCATCTCAAGAATTTTGTCTGTACCTAATGTGTCGGAAGACTCATTTAAGCCACGGCTCTTCTAACCACGCTAAGCCTTCTCTCAACCACGTCGTACTTGCGACATGCTTGTCCTTGTGAACGCCATGCTCACCATCAGGGAGGTCAAGTCTCAGCTCTGACTCCGGCCACAGCCTCTTTGCCTCTTTGGCAAACACTACACTTCCCGCGCTCGGTATGCCGGTGTCCTGCTTGCCATGGTAGATCCACAGCCGTGGCATCGTTCCGGAAGAGTGCAGTCCGAGTCTGAGCCGGTCGACGGGGTAGAGCACGTCCTCGTCTCCAAGAAACTCGCAGAAACGTCCTTGCTGGATGATCGCCGTCCCTAGATCCATTCGCGCCGGGGGCAGAGACTGTGAAACGATGTCTCCTTTCTTCATGGATTTGAGGTGCTCTGTTATGATCTCTGGCGGTAGCATCGGCACCCCAGTCATGACCTTCTCGAATGCTTCGCGGTAGTACCGGTCGCGGAGGTCTAGCATCGGATAAGCGGAGATCACGGCCTTGAGTCCTGGAAGACCGGACAGAGCTGCTTGCACGACCAGGTAGCCACCGGCTGACTCTCCCTCTGCCAAGATACGATCTGTGTCAAGTGCCAGAGAGGGATATTTGCTGTTGAGAAAGGCCTGAAGTCCGTCGTTGTCTCGACGGACCCAGCCCCAAAATACTTCCAGATCGTCGAGGATGTCTAGTCCTTGGCATTCCGGCAGGAGGCGGTAGTCAGCGGAGATGAGAGGAGTTGAATGCTGTTCGGCGTATTCTAGAAGATATATAGGGAGCCAGTCAGGCCAAAGCGACTTTCCCGCGAACTCAAAACAAGGTCTTAGTGTAGCCATAACTTGCAATCGAGTTTGGACATACCAAGCCGCCTCCATGGAATCGAAGTATGATGCCTCTTCTCACAATGTCATTGCTTGAAGATAGGATAGTCAGAAGGCTCTTTGGCATGAATACATCCGCTGCTATCTCATGGCTGCCGATTGTTCTGTAACTGGTTTGGTGGATGACAAAATTTGCGAACTTGGGGTGATTTGCTAAGTCGGTCATTGTGCGCGTGGCCACAGTTTGATAGACTTCAGCACACACGGAGTTTAAAACTGTTCAGTCCTTGTCTATGTCTCGAGAAAATAAACCAATTGTTTCCTATCACATTTAGTTAGACAAGGACTCAGGTGTTTCCAGTCATCTCCTTATAAGTCGCAGTACACTTGCAGTACTGACGGATGCACTTTGCGGCGGGGTTGGAATGGCAGTCCCAGGACCATGTTAGCTGACATGCACGACCTCAGCGATAGACGCCTTACAGAGAGCTTTGCTTCGTAAACTGACAAAGATATTGATTACACGGATTCAGAGCGGCATAACATGCCGAAATACAACAGAAGAGATAAGCCAAGTCTTGAACCAGATAGCGAAAGGCACATCGGCTCATTACTCTTTCCACTTTGAGTCAAGACGAAGTATTACTTGAGAGCTAGTGAGGGGAATATGAAGACATGATCGCTGCGAGCGATACCTCGATAGGTTACGCTGGGCAAGTTGGGGTAGAATCACCAGGGAGGGATGCGCTGCTAGGAATGCCTAGTTGCGTTGCTTATCTGTGAACAGCATTCACGGATCCTTCACCCGAGATCGGATGACTGCCATGGCTATCTGTATCTAGACAACAGCACTTCCCCTCACTCACCGAGATCCGTGGGCTATAAGACTCTACGAGAAGGAGAGTCATTCATCCGCAAGACTTTGGATAATTGACATCTCTTATGAGTCTGAAGCGAATTACTATTTACGCCATGGCTGACATATCAATTTCATACCTTAAGGGGGATGCATCTAAGGCTCAAGACATCGAGGACCCGGACAAGACTGCTGCAATTACCGATAGTGTTATCCAGGAGGAAGTCAAGCAAGGATGGACTTCGTATTTTTGGGATACTTTAGAGAAGTCTCCGCAAGAGCGTGCATTTCTGTTCAAATTGGATGGAGCAATCTTGACCATTGCGTGCCTTGGTAAGACAGATCAATCATAGTCTCGCTTGTCTTCGGCAAGAATTTGCCCTGTTCACTAAATCTTTCCATAGGATATTTTTGTAAATACCTCGATCAGAGCAATATCAATAATGCATTTGTCTCGGGAATGTGAGTTATCATATACTCAAATCATAGATGTCTCGCCTGCTAACACTGTCTAGGAAAGAGGATCTCGGCCTTTATGGAAACCAATTGAATATCATGACGACATGTTGGACGGTTGGATATGTCATTGGAGAAATCCCTAGTAACATGATCCTAACTCGGATTCGGCCGTCCATCTGGATACCAACACTGGAGGTCATCTGGACAGTCTTAACTTTTTGCCTCTCGAGGTGCAACACGGCGGGACAGATCTACGCCTTGCGATTCTTTATAGGTAACATATTTGTATCGTAACCACTACTGACTGTGCGTTAATATCTGATGAATCAGGACTTGCTGAAAGCGGTTTCTTCCCCGGAATGTCGTACATGATTGGGTCCTGGTATCGAAGCGATGAGCTTGGACGTCGCTCGGGCATATTTCAGGCCGCTGCTGGGCTCGGTGTTCTGATCTCCGGAAACCTGGCTGCTGCAGTGTATCGACTTGATGGCAAAGGCGGATTCGCCGGTTGGCAATGGTACACAGACTAAACTTCGTTGTGCTGTTGCGATACTGAGATTCTACTAGGCTATTCATTGTTGATGGATTCATATCATTACCTATCGCCGTGGCCGGGTACTTCATGATCCCTGACATGCCACAAAATTCAAGGGCATGGTATTTGAAGAAAGAGGTAGCTTGCTATTGATGATCAGAATTAGTCTTAAGATGCTAATATCTACTGGCACAGGAAGTTGTTTATGCCCAGCGACGGATGGAGTTGGAAGGCAGGCAGTACCGGCAGCCTTATACAAAGGCCAAATTCAGGAAGATCTTTACCAGCTGGCACATCTACGGACTAACTCTGCTCTACGTGTAAGCTACATTATTGAGTGATGCCCGCTTACGCAGCCACGTCGTGTTTCATCACTGACAATTCGGCAGTCTCTTTAACAATGCAAGCGTAAGCGGAACTCCTGTCTTCGCGCAATTCTTGAAGAACTCTACCGACCCGAAGTATACGGTGGAGCAAATCAACAACTATCCCACGACTACGGCTGCGGTCCAGGTCTTTACGACCTTTCTGTTTGCATGGGTTTCAGACACCGTCTGCAAAGGTGCCAGGTGGCCGCCAATCCTATTCTCGGGGGTATGAGGAAGTCTTGCTTTGTTCTGCTTCCTCAACAGCTAACCCAAGGCAGGCTCTGAACCTGATGTATTTCATATCTCTTGCTGTATGGGATATCCCCGTCTCGTACAAATGGTTCCTGTACGTGATGATTGGAACTTTCCCTGGCATCGCCGGGCTACTAATGTCGTAAGTGCTGTTTTCTTTGCTCGTCAAACCTTCTGACTGATCTGGTATCAGATGGGCCCATGAGATTTGCACGGAGGATACCGAGGAGCGAGCTCTGGTAATTGCCTCAATGAATGAGATGGGATACGCGATACAAGCCTGGCTGCCGCTTTTAATTTGGAAGCAGACGGACGCACCTATGTACCGAACCGGCTTTATTGCTGCTACATGCATCTCAATGGCATTTTTAGCAAACACCCTTGTGGTGGTATGGCTGCAACGCCGAGAACAACGATCTCGAGCAGCGATACGAGATCGAGACCGAGGAAACTGATACAACCTTGATGTCATTCTTCAATTGATGCAGCTCATAATCAAATTCAAACATCTTAGAACACGACCAAAGCAGGATTGTCAGACTAGAGAAGACATCGAAGCAGGACGGCCGTCGGTTCAGCTTAAAGAACCGGCCAACCACGTTAACTCCTGGTAAGGCCTAAGGACTGAGTCTGTGTGATGTGTACTTTGCGCTAGTACTAAATCCAATGAAATGTAGAATTCTAAGACTCTTAGACTATGAAGGAGACGATATCTCGTACAGATTTTGCAATCGACTTGATGCGACCCAAATTCTCTCGAGGTGACTCTACATCCCAATCTTCACCCTGCTCGACCTCTAAGAAGACCTCGTAAAAATTACACCAGTAGTCGAAGTCGTAATCTTTGATATGGTCAGGCGGGTCAAAAGTCTGTTGGCCCATCTGTCGATTCATGTCATCTTGTGGGTAGAGATCTACAGCCGACTCTAGCAGATAGCCTTCCTCCCAGTCCTTTTCCGTCTGCCAACCCGAGTCAGAAGTTGAATCCGTTGTCGAACAAGCTTCATCTTCACCTTTATCAAACCAGTTCTCCATATATTGTCTCAATAAAGCGATTTCATGGCCATCACTACCCTTGAGAGTCACGGAAGTAAGATTAGTGGCAGCAATACCACAATCTGTATTTGATAGGATCGCTTTTGTCTAAGTGTAGCTTGTGTGTGCATTGTGTCCGGCGGCATACGAAGAGTACTCTTTTCTTAGCTTTTCGTCGAGAGTTTCAATGAAAGCTAACAGCTCCCCAATGACAGCTGTCATGAAAATTTTCCAAGATCTCTAGGTTCTTAGCACGTTGCCTGATCCAGGGCAGTTGGCCATCAGAGTCATAACTCAATCGAGCGAGCAATTCAATTGTCCAGCCTCCATAACGAAGTGCCTCCAGGATTATGTACCAACATCTGGCTTCCCACTCGCTTCGCTCATGATTTAAATTTTGTAGGAAATGGGAAATACTCGTTGAGCCAAATGGGTGTTACAAAACACGCCGGAAACGTGTGCAGCGGATACATTCGCTAATGTGTTATGTACACCTTGGAGTGTCTCGGGTCATCAGAATCTTCAAGTCAGCGGTAGCACCGTGATTGAATAATTAGACTGTTGTGTTGAACGAAAGCTGCATGGCAGTCCTTTACAATAAGGCTATTGTTTTGCTGCACTTACTTTTAGGAGGAAAGATGTCTACCTAGATCAATTTAAGGCAGACCTTTGGGGTCCTATACCACCTGTATAACGGCATGACTTATATTAGTCTTTCCCCTAACCGTCTATTAATACCCGTGCCAAAACCCCAGTAGCTCTTCTGTCGGGCGTTTAGAAAGACCGAACAAGATTCCTGGCAGTAGGTAGATCTCTGGATAGACAGCACTACTGATGGTGAGAAGGAGACAGATGCGAAGAGACCTAGCTAAAATACACTAATTGGCAACAACTCCTCTGGGTCATGTACCCCGTCGCAAGGGTGTATTAATTATTATATTCTAAAAGATGATTGAAACATACAGGACAAAGAACCTCATATGCGTCTATTTACTCTCTGTTGTCTTCTCCTGGTCATCTGGATTTGGTAAATAGTTCAACCATGGACCTTCCCTGATATAGCTCACAAAGCCATTCGCTTTAGTCTTATCGCTGACCCAGGGAGACACACAACGCAGACACCTTAGCCACCATGTCTCCATCGCCTCATAGCGTGTGATATAGCCAGAAGCAGATACGATCAGATTGGCATGTGGTCGCTGTTTCTTTTCGTAAGTATCGAGGGCTGCGACTAGCTCGTCTTTTGTTGGTTTCCGCCCGCCATCCGACTCGCACTGCCGCACCAAGGGGACAAGCTCGTTCATAAGATGCACAACACCTTCCACCGCCAAATTGCCTCCAAGTCCGGGGTTGACGGTCGCCTTGTGCACCGCGTCTCCGATTAAAGCTACCCTCATCCCCGTGTTCCACTTCGGCTTCAAAACGCCTTCCTCAAGCGGCAGCATGGCTGCTTTGACACGGCTCGTCCATAGATCCTTGAAAGTATAACCGGGACCAACGGCATAGTGGCCATACTTGGCGATTGTGTCTTCGGTCTCTGCCTCGGTAAACCGCGGCGTGTTCGGCGTTTTGGTGACATTGTCACTTTTCACGAAAAGGAACCAGAAGACAAGGCCGCTGACCCCGGCTGCCGCCACGCCAGAAAATCCTTGGTAGTAGACATTGTGCACCGTGCCGTCTGGGAGGAACAGCTTGCCTTCCGCACTCGGATTGGTATTTCTGGATGTTCCAAAGATGCAATGGTATGTGCTAACAAAACCAGAGCGCATCTCCTCCGATGCGGCAGCATCGGTGCTGGCCAGTCGGTCAGCCATTAGCCTCCGCATAGCACTATGAATGCCGTCGGCTCCAAGAAGTAAGTCTCCTTTGATAACCTCGCCATTCTCTGTCGTCACCTCTACGCCTTCTTCTGTCTCTTGGAACGCGGCGACACCAGTTTGAGGCCGGATGCGTGACTTGTCTTTGATTTGATTGTAGATGCAACTCAGCCAGAATTTACGTTCCATGAATACTGTGAAACGATCAAGGGACCTGCGACTGGTGTTAGGCTGTTTTCCCAGACTGCTGTATGATATTGAGACACGCAAGGCTTTGGCTCACATCTTGGAGATCTCACGTAGAATGGCAGAGTCCTCGAACAGTTTGCCATTCTGGTCGTAATGCCGCCGATCCTCTAATGGAACAATACCAGCTCTTATCTCGGGCCATACTCCGAGCTGCTCCATCACCCGCTGAGTGTGTGGGTGAATGGAGATGGAGGCACCCATGTGGGGAGCGATCTCACGTTTCTCCAAGACAACATAGTCGATTCCGGCCTTCTCAAGAGCCAGTGCGGTGGTGAGACCAACAAGACTGCCACCCGCAATGATCACCTTGAAAGGCTGCGTGTTGTCTGCCATGATTCTAGAATGCAAAGATAATCAATTATGGATATACGGCATTCGATGCAGCGAACCCGATGGAGTGGTTATGTAGTTTCAGGCTATTAATGTACTACAACGATCAAAGGAGAGTGGCTATGCCAAGACGCCAGCAACACCCTTGTTCAATGAGAAATGCATGGCGCCATGCAGCAGAAAACCTTCCAACGATCGATAGCACGAATCTAAGCGGGCTCGGCAGGGTTAGATATCGCTTACGAATATCTTGTGGATCGCCAGGACGCTTCTGTCTCAGGCTAGACTAGTTTTGCTGCAACCACGCTCTTGGGTTAACCGTGGTGGAGGATATGACTGACTGACCTACTGAAAATTCCTCTCGACCTCTTCTTATTCACCAAGTGCTTATATCGCTTTGAATAGCAACTTTCCCCTACGAAGATACTAACTAAATTGCGCCTCATCATCTCATACAGGCCATGTTAGCCCTACTGATTGCTAAGAGAGCACCGATATGTAGATCTACTGAATGGGAATTGTCGTAGGCAGCCCCGGGTTTATCTCGTTCTCATCTCCGGAGGCCGTTTATCAGAAGGTAACGATCAGGCCAGACCCTGGCCCCACAACCGGGGCGGTTTGGTGGGCCCAGCTAGGGACATCCCGGTGTATCCACAATTGCTAACCGTCCCGGGTCAGGGGAAAAGCAACGCTCTCGACTCATTATTTGCTGCAATGCTCTGGAACCCTGACTTCATGTTTTAGTGAACGGCGCGGCAAGTGATCGGCATTTACAATATCCCTCTTGATCAAATTCGCCGTTTCCAAGTTGGGGAACTTTTAGAGCCAGCGTCTCGAACGACGCCCCTGGACCCCACCCAAATTCTCCAAGGCCAGCTTCGGCATTTACGATCACAAAATGTATGATAAACGTTGTAGGCCCCCTCGGCCCCCCTCTATCAGAGTTTTTGGAAAGTCGTCTCTGAGCCTTGGGTATCTGCGAAGATGTCGGGCCAAGCTAGCTCTGCGGTGGTCCTCGGCGCCGACGAGAAATATGAGATCGCAGTCTCATATGGCACTATTATTGCTACAGGTGCACTGGCAATTCTAGTCTGCGGCACTAGGGTACGTGTGTGAAGACCAAGACCCTCAGGGGCTTCTCTATGCTAACGTGCGAGATCAATCCAGCTCTGTACCCGTATGTTTTTGCTCAACACCTTTGGTATCGACGATTGGGCATGTCTGGTCGGGCTGGTAAGTTGTACATTCTCGCTTCTTATATGTATCTGGACCTCAAGATAAATCCGTGGACTGACACTCGATTCGCAGGCCTTTGTTACTGTCTTTAACGGTATTGGCCTAGCTGTAGTGTACTATGGCGCCGGCAAACATATCGAGCATGTGTCCCAAGAACACCTTTCAAAATGGTTTATGGTATGCCCTCTTCTCTGTCTATATGGTCCTGGATCACACTAACATGGCCATGTCAGCTATACTACGTCTGCATATGCATGTACTTGAGCATCTCATTCGCCGTCAAGTCAAGCATTCTGCTATTCCTGCGCAGAGTCTTTCCAGCAAGTATGTCAAGATACACAAGAGTTCCCGAGGGACACCTGACTGACACTCTACTGTGCTGTAGCATACATCCAACGAGCTACACTGGGCATGATTGTCTTCCTCGTTCTCTTCACCATCTCGGGTACATTCGTCGCAGCCTTCCAGTGCAATCCGCCGAAATATGCGTATGATCTCGTGTTCCTGATGTCACCTGAGCGCTCCAAACATTGCTTTTCCAACAGCGTTGCTTATGGAATTTTCATGTATCAGGCGGTTGTCATCTTCGCTTGCGACATCGTAATGTTTCTTCTACCGTTCCCTGTACTGTTGAAGCTGCAGCTGAGCCCTGCAAGAAGATTTGCCCTCTTGGCGGTCTTTGGCAGCGGCGTAGTTGCTTGTGTTGCACCTGCGGTGAGATTTAGAAGCCTCAACTTTTATAAGACCGGGAGCTCCGACACGACCTGTATGTTGTCTTGTTTTCTTCGTCATTCGTCTAAAGGAGCGCGCCAAAGTGCGGCTGGCTAACCTTGATGCTTTGCAGTTGTGGGTGCTTCATCCCTGTATTGGATGGCCATCGAGTACAACATGGGCCTGGTTGCCGGTTCACTGCCAGGGCTACAGCCTTTGTTCAAGCGATTCGGTATATTTGGTACCACGAACGACGCCACGGGTCCTTCTTCGCGCAAGAACCCCCAATTCTCGCCCTCATACCAGCTGGAAGACCACAGCAGCAAAAACTGGGGATCGGGACGACGTGGAAAGGGGAGCAAGAATAGATACCAGGGAGAGAGCGTCCTGGATGCCACGGTCATGGGGGAGCGCTCTTCACAGGAGAGTGACGAGGCGCGAATTGTGAAGACTCAGGTCTTTACGCTGACCCATGAGACCAACGATCATCCTTCAGAGACCAAGCCGCCTTCTTGGGGCACTTTCAACGCGAAATATCGTTGAAACGCACGTCATGGACCAATTGTAGCATTTGCAAAGCACGTTGTGAAATGGAATACCTGGTTAGATTACACTCAGCAACGCTATATCACAAAATAGAAGAGTACCGGAAATGTGAGAGTCCCTCTAGTGTCAAGTAGTAAAATTGCCTTCTCAAGACGTGACCCTTTGAGCAGGTGGTGTCAAGTACCGCTGCCAAAATATGTGATACAAAAGGTATAAAGCAATGACTGGTTATTATGACATCTCGATCTAAACTCTAGAGTTTCCTTCATTTCCCACGTTCCTAGGCTGTTGCTGCCTTGACCTGAACCGTAGGGAGCTTAGTGTGGAGTTACAACACGGCCGAGGAGCCTCATTTTAGCCTTCCCAGCTAAAGTTGCCACTGACCAGAAGTAGGTATAAGTATATAATCAACCATATTTCATGGCCAACTAATATTTCAAGTGGTCCTGGAAACACCCAAGTTGACGGACTACTGTTGAGTTTTGTTATCTGGTGTCTCACCACTACTGTTCTGCCGTCATAAAGACGTTCTAAACTCACTATTCACAGTCGTTTCTCACTAGCAATGTGAAAACATATGGCAATTCTGTTTAAATAAAGGTTGCTAGCCTTAATCATCTACAAGTAATATATAAGCTTAGATAGAAGAAAGTGCTCATGGAGATGACAAGAAGCCATGCCAATGTTTATTGTAAAATAAAGGGGGTCAGGCCACACTAATCTGGGACTTGCAAGAAATAGCAGTAAGCGCTTGATAATGCAATCTACTATGTTTGAAACTAGAAAAGAACGCTAGGATGGAATGGCTATTCAGGCTTTCTTCCCCAAACAAAATGGACAGGAAGGTATAAATGGATTGTCGGGTCCTTCAGTTCGCTCTTCACCTTTGCCATCAGTACTTGGACTTCGGGATCACTCCAGCCAAGCACCCGGGCAATCATTCCTGGCGTATATGAATCCACAGCCTGAAGCTGCTGGTAATACTGAAGGCTCCCCACTTCCTTGAGCTTCGCGTCCTTGGGCCAAGTACCAACCGGTAACTGTTGTCATCAACAGCGTTAGCTTTCAAGAGCCATGCCATAAACGGACCAGAGTTAGGACAACGGTAACGCACCTTAAGAATTCTCTCTTGCACATCTACAAATCCTGTAGCCTCGACTTTGTTTTTCCATTTGGGTGCAATATCCAATGGCTTCCCGAACTTGGCTGCACCTTCGAAGAGAGCATCTAGCCAGATGGTCGTGTTCGTTGCCTTCTCATGAGTCCCGTCTTCAGATGTGAATCGCGCAGAGGTAGCTTGAAGCTCGATATATCCGCCAGGAGCCAGATGTTGAAATGCTCTCTCAAGTAATTTGTCGTCATTTGCGATACATCCCTCCAACTCCCGTCCATGGATGAAATCGAACGGCCTACGGTAAAGCCACTCATCTTCGTAATCGTCAACTTCGAATGAGCAGTTTGGAGGTGTCCTAGTGAAGTGTCAACAGGATATAATCAGTAAAGCTAGAACGCATGCTATACCATTTTGGCTGGATGGGGCTCAAATCAATCCCTATGACTTCGGCAGAGGGATATTCACTAATATCAAGACGATCAGATGCCGAACCAGGGTAGAATCACAGCATATGGACCTTACTCTGCAAAATCCATTGCCCAGATCCCAGTACCGGTACCGAGATCGAGGACGCGCTGTGGATTGTCGCTGATAGGAGCAAAGAACAGCTGGCCACCGGCGATGAGTCGGTATAAGTGATGCACGAGGTCCATTCGCTCTTGCTCGTCTTCGTCATTGGGCTACCAGAGGAACAAATCAGCCGACCTTCTCATGCTGCGGAGTAATATAGTTTGCGACCAACTAACCACTAGGTAAGTACCGGCACGGAATGCATGATAGCGGCGCCCGTTCTGGTGCGACCAAGTTAGCTACGCGCGCCTCGTTGAGTCACACGGACTGACCTCATAGCTAGATGTAAGTTGCCATGTCAGAAAGCCTTCGGTTACAATTTGGCGTTGGACTCTTACGTGTAATCCACGATGCTGGATTCTAGGGATGTCACATAACTGCTGTGTCCTGTTCTGGAGAAGTCATCAGACATGGTCGGGCATTATAGGAGCAGAAAAAACTGACGATTCATTGTAGGCCGAGTCTTGGTCATTTGAAGCAGGATCCTGTAACCGAGTGTTGTGTCAATATTTTGCATGCATTGCTCATTGAAGAGTTAGGTACTTACGTCTGCCTGCAAGATGCCCTCGGCCACCAGCCCTTGCGGCGTCGGTGACTGGTCCTGTGACTTCGGTGATTGACTGGCCGATTTAGATGATCTGCCCCGCAACTTTGGTGAGCTTTGCGACCTTGGTGAATGGCCTTGCGGCTCTGCGCTTGGTTCCTTGCCCTCGGATCCAGCCATTGCTTCTTGTGTAGCGTTGCTGATGTTGGGCGGCAACAGAGAAACTCGACGGCTGTGAGGAGGGGTTCTTCAGCACTGCTCCCATTCCAATCCGCGCATCCGTCGGTCTCCGTCACGTGCCATGTGCTAAAGGTATTGTGCCATATGAAGGGTCTTGCATGACTCCGGGGGCAAATAGGAAGCAAAACCGCATGGTTGTGAGGGCTCTGGGAGGCCCTTGCAGTCTTGGATTGCCCAATGGACCGACAGAAGCCCCTGTATTGCCCTACTTTCTTAGGCGAGCAGTGAGGAGATAGTGGGGCGGTTTGCGAAAGACACAGGTAATCATATGACCTGTCACTTCGATAGTACTGTTGAAGAAGCTTGGCAGTTGCTGCGTTTATCAGCTAAGATAGGTCTAAGCAATTCTCATAATGATAGAGTATACAACATTCAACTAAATTCGAGGTGTACTTACGGCCACCTGCCGTCCCTTGAGCAATTCTGCAGAACGATATGTGCACATAACCTATCTGGTTCTATCAACTTAATGAACAAGGTATCGTAAGCCAGATACACGCCCGTGCTGACGAACTTCTCAGTCAGATCATAGTCATCAAGATGCTCTCGAGTGTGATCTAAACATTTTAGGCTCTTGAAGTGGCCTGTCACAGCCTCTGCGATACGGAGAAGTCCTTCCAGGAGATGTGCAATCATTTAGACACTTGTTGTGTCAAGTAACCCTACCGAGATATTAGGTGCATAAAAGATATAGATCAGGACAGTATGACTTTCTAATTCTTCTACCACGTTGTTACATCTAAACTATAGCTGCAGTTACTGTCATCCCCCAATCGGAATGGTCCAGTTGATATCGGCCATTCACTTGATCTCATTGCCTCTCCGGCTCTGGCAAAATTTGACCTAATGGATACGGGGAAGCTGAACATCTATCGGCACGGAGGTTGATGAAGACGGGCTATCCCTAATCTAGTAGCGCAGTACCTTTGGCAAAGGTACTGCGCTACTGGATTAGGATTAGCCCCTTAACCATACAATGTGCGGTGCGCTGGGCCCCGGGAACAGATCTTCCATACCATGCAGGCGACTTTCCCTCCTTAAACATTCGGGCGAACCATGGCGGTCGGTGGAATGAGCAATTCGGTCCCTCGACAGAAATCTCCTGGGTAAGTTCCCTTCTTTCGATTTGCCATCAGTCACCATGATCACGAAGCCAGTTAAAGATTGCTTGAAGATACTTCTGGATGCTTCATTCTCACATGCCTTAATACGTTATCCTTCCTTCCTTTATACGAGCAATCGGCAACAGGACATTGACGTGTATCCGAGGGTATGTTCTTCAACAAGGCATATTGCCTGTGCCGAGCCCAAACATGTCTTCGAAGATCACGAGCCGAACTCGATTCGGCCAGGCACTGTGAGCAAAGATGACGTTTCGTTTGTTTCTGTATAGTCCTTCATGTTTGATCAACCGGTGCCCTATTCATTTGAATCCAAAAGACGGATGCTGGGATTACCTCGTAGATGTGGCTCTGATATAGCATGGATCAATGAAAGAATTTATTGTCATCGATTTCTCCTGCTCGACCATAGAATGATGCATTGATGAGGGACTCGGCTCAGGGGAGACTGCGATTATGTTGCAAGACGCGGTATCAAGTCCTGTTCTTTGGAAGGAACGAGCCGATAAGCTGAGACCGTCGTGATGTGCAGATGGCATGTAGGGTTGCTCGAATGCAGAGTAGCCGCTGTATGCGGTTGTGGACTGGAGTAACGGTAGCGGATTGATAGACAAGTCTGGTATGGTGACCATATTAGGCCAGAAGAGCATCTCGTATTGAGACTGCAGTCCACTAGAGGGTATATACGGGCTACTGCTAGTATCATCCCAGGAATGAGTGAGGACATCTTCGTCCGGACTCTGGTTCTGCATTGTCTCTAGCGGAGACAAGGAGTCAGTTGAAGAGTAGAGCGGGCTGGGTGGTTGGGGATTCATATTATTCTACAATATGAATATAATTCAGAGCTAAGTCTTTGAAAGAGGAAATGTGTCCCAAGTGCGGTTTCTGACTGCTGTTCTAAAAATTGGTGTCAGACATCAACCCTTCTCGAGCTGGAGTTCTGTAACCATTTTATATCTCTATCAAGCCAACTTTTTATCAACAGGATCTAGGACCCAGCGCTACACTAGTGACAAAAACGCCTATGAGGAAGGGATGTCGTGCGCAAAAAACCATCTTTCATAGCCGTGCAAAAATTAGTCGATACTCCCGTTGGTTGTGTGGTGACTTGGACAAGGCTCAAGTATGGGGTTGCGGTGTGAGGAGAAACCTGAACACAGTCCAAGATAACGAGGTCCCAAGTTTTTTTGCGCAGACAATATGGTCCCGAAGCAAGACAGATCATATCGGCCTGTCATTCCTCCAAGGACGTGGCTCTTGGTTCATTAGAACATGGTGCGACTAAAACTAACCGAACCTCTTGCATAAACGTCGTCCTCCATACAATGCCAACCTCGATGGACGTGCGTGCAAATAGTAATTTTTGCGCCCTATAATTCCTGGACTCGGCAGCCACTATCTGGTGCTGCAAAGGCACAAGCATCTTCCTGATTTGTATAGCGGCTTATTGCGGCCACTTTTGAGCTGCCAAGGTGCGCGGACCAGGAGGCAACCTCGCATGCATCTGTCGCGCATCGCGACATCTAAATATGCCCAGACGGTACGTCGTCTTTGTCACTCTTTAATAAATAGTCTCTGTCGTGGCTGGTGGACTGCATGCTATCAGAATTCCCACCTCCGGGGTTGTATGGATTGATGTGCAAAGGGGTGGAGTCCAGTGTCCTGTTCTGGTGCCCGCCCACTGCAACATATAAGAGCTTGGATTTATGCGCTGGTCAGACTTTCTGCGCGCAGAAATTCCGTTTGTCTACTCCCGATACTCTGGGTGCGGGGAAACTGGAACAGGGATGAGATCGATGTCAACGCAGCCTGCTGAGATTTGGCGAACTACGCCTAAGAGGCGCCCAGACTTCGGTCAACTGGTCGCCTTACTTGACAATTGCCCGCAGCTGACTGCCTTGGAAACACTTGGAAACGCCCAGGGGAATTTTTGCACAGGCAAAAGTCCTGAATGATTGGCTTTGCGATTTCTGCGTTGACCCAAGTGGCGCACGCACATGCAGGGGTCAGAATCGCCTAGGGGCCTGTGACCCCCGATTCCTTTTCAGCTATCAAATTGGCTTGACGAAATACTCAAATATGTGTTTAGGAAGTATAAATGGAATCCACCTTGTCTTGGAAGTTCTGACAATGACTTGCCGGCTTAGTATCTTTATGCCCATTTGCTTATGACAATTCGCTTCTGACACGACGGCGCACTTCCCTAGCCACATGATGTCAGAGACGACCACAATGAACTCCCGCCCATCTCTATATTCGAGCCCGAATCGCTCTTGCGACTCCATCAGCGGTTCAGACACATGCGTCGGGACTATAACCAGAGACTCATCAACTTCTTCAAGGCAATCCGTCTCGTCATTGTCACCAGTCGGGAAGCCAATATCGCATAATTCGAGAAGCACTTATCGTGGCCCGGGTCGGCCCGCAACAGCCCAACGTATTTGGACAGATCCAGCCATGCAGAGGATTTTGGTGCGATTATACCTCTACACTGCCGAGGGTTCTTTAAGTACCAAACAGATGAGCAATCTGATCACAGAACTGGCCCAACGTGGAAAGAAATGGAGAAGGTTTGAGATTTGATTAACTGATAGTTATTTCGAAGTCAATCTCGGAGCTCGAGCTGACCAATATATGATTCAGCACCGAGAAGCGCCAGTCCTCAGGCCCAATTCCCAAGTCGCAAATCCGATCTACACAATATCAATTAAACATGTTACTATCTCGTGGATACCATCAGCTCCGGCCGCGCACTCGGGAGGTCGCTCATGCAAGACTGGCTAATCTCCGTCTCATTCGAAGTGGACGGGTTGAGAAAACACGCAAACAACAAATAAGTCGAGGACGTTCTGGATCATCGAATCGGTCTGGGCGTTTTAAAGCAAAATCCTTAATCTCCAGTACATCTGAGTTACCAAAGCCAGCCTCCGGCGTGGGCCGTATATCCAAACGGTTCAGTGTTGATAGCTTCGATTCATGGATTAGCAGTTACAGCACCGAGCCAAGTTCTACTCGCCATTCAAAACGACAACATATTCGATTGTCGTGGGTAAGAGAGGTATTCAGTAGGTCCGGCGAAAAGAGACCGTCGTCTTCAGTTCTCTTGGAAATTCGAAGTCTGATGAGCACCCGCTCCCTGCGCAGTTCACTGTCTTCCCGCAACTCATCCTCGACGGACATATCGATTAATTCTGCTACCCCCTTTCCTGACGAGCATAATTTTCCTCAACGTAACAAGCTTGTCATTGAGTTCTGTTGCCAACGACGTCCCACATGTATTCATCGCCAAGCCGCTCAACTAATCAGCAATTCTGAGCCGACATATGTTTTCCACGAGCTCTTTTCCAACTTAGATGTGCTGAAGAAAGATCGGGATATTTGGAATTCTACCGTTCTTCACCTTCTCGCTCAGTGGGCCAAGGATGCTTCCGTGATGCCCCTTCTGATTGGGATCATCTCCGAGTGCGAGCGATCAACTATCAACTCCCGGAATATAGATGGTGACACTTTCCTCCATATTCTTGCACGGCGTTGGTGCCATATAACGAAGTCCTTAGACGACTTAGTTCTTATAGATTTCATCGGTATCCTGAGTGCGAAAGGCTTTTGCTTCTATATTCGAAATTTTCGTGGATACAATGTTCTTGCAAGCTTCATTCCAGAAGATTTTGCTGGATTTACAATTCATACTGCGCCCACCATCTTTCACCGTCGCGTGGTTGGTATTTTACGATCCTTGCTTGATGTGAAGCATGGCGGTCGCTTTCTTTCAGAATCATTCGCAACCATCCCCCTAGAACCTGGACAAGACCCTTTGTCAAGTTTCCTATCGGCTTTTGTTTCGGTATTTCTCTGGTCTGAAACAGCATCTCAGACATTCAACGAAAGTGAAATCCGTTTGGTCCTTGAGACGCGGGAAAAATTTCAATACTATCGAAAAGCAATGGCCATGCATATCATGCCACGCCCAAGTCTTCACGTCTATCTGCGAGACCGCACTTCTACGGCCACTATATCAATAGAACTTCTCGATCAAGGAGCGGATCCTAACGAGTACAATAACGAGGGGCAAACATGTCTCATGGCACTTCTGCAGAGGTCCACCGAGCCCCGTATGCCCGAAGGTACCGTCACTGGCCTCGTACAAATACTGCTCGATCACGGTGCACTCGTTAATCTCCGCGACCAGGAAGGTAACACCACGCTCCATTATGCGGTTAATGCCGAGCTTCCTGACGTCGTGCAGCAGCTGATCAAGGCTGGTGTTGACTTAGATGCGAGGAATATAGAGGGAAAGACGGGCTCAGATATCGCAATCAACCACTACAAAATGTTGCGCTACTTGCGAGAAGGCAACTCTTACTCCACTACTCAGAAGATGATGGTCCGATTTTTCGACGCGAGTGCCAGGCGGATGGGAAGGGTCAAGAAGTCATTACCCGAAATTCCAGAGTAAGAATCATATCATAGAATGAAACGTTTAACGTGAAAAGATGATACAAATGTACGGAGAGCCGTCATAATCAAAACCTCGAACAAGTGTAATACAGTGGATGAACAATCAATTGTACCGGCTACCTTCTCTCCGGGGCGTAAGGTGTATCTGAAATATGCAATCCTACTAACCATAGGAAATGGCTATGCTATTATTTTATAATCTAAACTTGTACGTTATTCAAGAGCGAGTATCTTTTGAGGGCCGACCCCTTTTCCTCTACCTAAACATTCAAAATCCCAAAGTTTTCCAAGTCTAGGAACTGTAAATAGTGAATATTATCACATTTGATGCTTATTAAACCACTGAGACTCTCCTCTAAAGACAATTGCGGCGAGTACCTTGATATTCTTTATATTCACTCATGCTAGATCCATTGGTCCGCCCAACTTTGATCTTTCATAACGTGATCACTTGAAGTCGTCATCGAGATAATACCACCAGTTACACTTCTCCGGCTTTTCAGCTGCTGGGAGAGGTGCTGACTCTGATGGAATGTCAAGTCTCAAGCCGGCTTCGCAACGACTGACGAAACTCGCGGAGATGTCTGGCTGCGATGTTTGATTGTAGTTAATCTCGTTCGAGTCAACCTCTCCCTTAACTAACTCTTTCCAGAAACCATGGCTCTCTTCAATGACTTCGATCATGAAATCAGCCGGCTGGTACGCATCACCAACAATAGCAATCAAATCATCTCCGCGAGGAACCTTGTAGAACTGCAAAGTTGTGAGACATGATCATGGGTAAGGACATGTAGATAATGTCATAACTAACCGTAAACCAGTCCTTGTAAGTCTGGACGAGCCCAGGACGATATTTCTCCAAGTCCTCAAAAGCTGCGATACCAAAGGTCAGCTTTGTTAAACTACGCAAAAGCGTAAACATGTTCGCAACCCACAATCATTGGATCATAACAAGAGGAAGAGGGATGGTCAGAATCGTGGGGACGAGGATATTGATATGCCGGACTCGGGGGCGCAAGTCCTCGCTAGTGCATCATACGTCAGAACTCCCTTGGGCCGTTCATTGGATGCTGCAGAAGCAGCATCAGTTGCTAGTACTCCACTCCACGACCCAGGCAATAACCCTGACTTCGTGGACAACATCCAGTATGGCATTATGACTTCGGAGCAAGTCCCCGCCTCGGCTAGTATGCGTGCTAGCTCATCCTATGTCAGAACTCCCTTGGGCCGTTTATTGGATGCTGCAGAAGCAGCATCAGTTACTAGTACTCCATTCCACAACCCATATCAGTTGTCTGAATTTGCAGACGACTGCATATTTGACGATGGCCGTGAGCTTACCCAGAGCGAGTTCGAGGATAGCTTGGACTATACCTTGCCGGGAGATGACACAACACGAATGGGGAACTGGTCTGTTCGCAAGCCAGACGAGTGAAGGGTCCTACGATGTAAAGTCATGGAGATGTGCGTGTCTTAGTCATTTCATCATACATTACTTAGGTGCTTTCAAGATCAATAGAGTACCGCGTGTGATTTTCACTGCAAACTGTCCACGGCGAAGTAACCACTGCAAACTGTATTATCACTGTAAACTGTATTACCACTGCAAACTAAATTACCACTGCAAATCTAATCACTGCAACCTAGCTAACTACTGCAAACTGCCTTTTCACCGCAAAGTGCCTTTCCACCGCAAACTACATTTTCACCGCAAAGTGCATTTCCACCGCAAACTACATTTTCACCGCAAACTGCCTTTTCACCGCAAATTTAACCACCGCAAACTACATTTCCACCGCAAACTGCCTTTCCACCGCAAACTTAACCACTGTAAATTTAACTACTGTAAACCGGATTTTCACCGCAAACTACATTTTCACCGCAAAGTGCCTTTTCACCACAAACTACATTTCCACCGCAAACTGCCTAACTACCGCAAACCGCATTTTCACCGCAAACTGGATTTTCACCGCAAACCTTTTCACCGCAAACTGCCTAACCGGATTTCCACCGCAAACTACCTTTTCACCGCAAACTACATTTCCACCACAAACATTTTCACCGCAAATTTAACCACTGTAAATTTAACTACTGCAAACCGGATTTCCACCGCAAACTACATTTCCACCGCAAAGTGGATTTTCACCGCAAAGTGCATTTCCACCGCAAAGTGCCTTTTCACCGCAAACTGCCTAACTACCGCAAAGTGCATTTCCACCGCAAACTACATTTCCACCGCAAAGTGCCTTTTCACCGCAAACTGCCTTTTCACCGCAAAGTGCCTTTTCACCGCAAAGTGCCTTTTCACTGCAAACTACCTTTTCACCGCAAAGTGCCTTTTCACCGCAAACTGCCTTTCCACCGCAAAGTGCCTAACTACCGCAAAGTGCATTTCCACCGCAAACTGCATTTCCACCGCAAATTTAACCACTGCAAATTTAACTACTGTATTTTCACCGCAAACTGCCTTTCCACCGCAAAGTGCATTTCCACCGCAAATCTAATCACTGCAAATCTATTTACTACAACTACTGCAAATTGGATTTTCACTGCAAACTGCATTTTCACTGCAAATTTAATCACTAGACAATGAAATCACAGTTCAGGGACAATCCACATGCAGAGTTACGAGAACAATGGAGTTGTGCAAAGGTGGTGATATATTATGTCTACATAATGAAAAGTGTAGACAGACACTCGAAAGCCAAGAGGATCGTTGTTGTGTCCTCATCACACGCACAGGAATAGCAAAAGGGTCTAAGCCCATTGATGATACTTTACTCATGCATATAGAGCCATGAGAAGACAGAAGAGACGGGATACCAGCTGCTTGGTACAGCTGATATCATGCTACAGTAATGGCCCATGATCAGTCACGAGCGAAGAAAGAACGAGGGAAGAGATAGCAAGCAAAAACGCAAGGGGAGGGGGAACAGCAAGCATTTAATCATCATCACTATCGTTGATGTCCATGGCTTGCATCTTTTCCGGAAGCGGATGCGATTCGGCAGGGTCTCCTCCATTCAGAACACGGAGGACGTCCTGCGATGATGAGCGCATAAAAAAGTCTACCTCATTTCGAAAAGCTGTTTCACAACCTCGAATTCTTGATATTATTCAGCATGCTAAGCAACGTTGTGGATCATGGAAATGTATGAGAGGTAAGAATAAGAAGCATCTTCGAAGGTACGTATATCTTGAGCCACCCCACGCTGTGGCGAATGCCACCTGCGTCTATACTTCCACCTCACCCCACTTGAGATTTAGGCAGAAACCACAGCTTAGACAACATCAACAATAGCCACAACAATCCATCCTTCAGATGGCCCAGAAAGGAGGCACATATCGTGTCCCAGCAGGTATGACTAAATCTTCAATTTCAAAGACGTTCAAAATTAAAAGAAGTAGAATCCAAAGCCCCAACCCAACCTGAACCAACGCTCCCGACCGCCGCCCACAACAACGATCAGATCGACGATCAGCAATGGGAAGTTGTAAAGAGCCCCGAAGAGCCAGACGGTGAGACAGACCGACCACACGGGCGCTGGTCAAGCCATTTCGATATCACACTCGGATGGGGCAAATGGAAGGTCACCGTGTTGAGCTGGGACGTGAGCGGCGGACATTGCACGCCACAGAGGACCTGCGGGCAGTGTTCAAATGACGGTCACAGTGGGACTTTCACGCAGGAGAGTTTCAGTAAGAGTAATGCGTAGGCATCAAGACACTTTTAAAGAGGGGAGCGATTGTGCTGGAGAGACATCTGAATATAACTGCGAGGGTTAAACCCATACGGGAGGCTCTTACATTGTAAATCTGGAGTACAAGCTGTTGTGTTCATGCTTGACAAGACGAGGTATACCAATCGGAGCTTGAAATGCACGTTCATTACCATTTCCAGTCTTCAGTGCCACTGTACAACTTCTATCCGATATTCACGTCTCCCAGTCCAGCACTTGGTATGCAGGCTTGGGCTAAACGGACTGCGCGCGTATTTCTGACAATTAACTTTACGAGATCCGACAAGCACATCGAGTCATAGGATCTTTAGATTACATTTCCATCATTGATCTGCGGCGTGATAGTATGTGAGTGAAGGGTGGTGCATATCTGCATATCCCATACTGATCGACGAGATACACAGACCACCCTTCTTAATCAATCTATTATACAAATACAGCGAGACAAGAGCAGCATGCACTGTCAATCTTAGTTTCTCGAACTGCTAATCTTTTGCTTTTCAAAATGTCGTATCTTTCACCCAACTTTTCCAACCAACCGCAGCCGGTGCTTCACCATATGCGTAGAACAAAAGAGAATAGGAGACCAAAGAGGTCATCCTTCATGCAAGAATTTGGTTCCTCGGCCTGTGTATCAATGGCCAGTAAATCGACGTGTTGATGGTGTTGTATAGATGACCTTGATGGTTATGGGCTGTATAATTGCCACAATGCAAAAGCGAAGACAAAGGAGCATATGCTGATGGTGATCCGGTAGAGACTGAATGTTGCCATGTGAGATTCGTCAGTGATTGTGGACAATTGCGGAGGAAGCTAATACTGGGGTCTGGTGTTGTCGGGTATTGTCGGATAAGGCTTTTAAGGAAAGAGACATATCGATCATTATTGTTTATTGTAGTTGCTAGTGCGCCGCGTCGAGGCGAACACTCTCAGGGGCCGTGTAACTTCTCCCTCAAATATACCACCGCGGCGTAGCCTGCGCAGCAAGATGTGCTCATGTTGTGAGAACACCATGGGCATTTGACACATGTAGTGATGGCACCGGACACGCCTAGCTTGCGGTCCTCAACCATCTCATTAGGACGGGCCATACACTCATACACGCGGCTCGGCATGTCGTGGTAGAACTTGCAAGCGCAACATTCTACAAACATCTTTGCAACAGGCTTGGGTCCAGGTGTGTCGGGCTGAGAGGTGTTTGATGTCACACTCTTCAGGGCGGGGCGAAGGGGTTGAGTCTGCGAGCGTGATCCGCTGG